AAAAAAAAAAAAAAAAAAGCCATTGCCTTGAATGTGGAGCCTCCATGGCAAAGAGAGAGATTTGTCTACTCATTATAACTTAGTATTATATAAAGAAACATCACACATCCAAACGCTTTGTTTTTAATGGACATCTACCTAAAAACAAATCTTCATTCTAATATTGATTTAGTTGAGTATTTTTCCAACTGCCTAATATATTCCAATCAACTGCTATGAATCTGGTAATGATTTAAGACTATAGGAAGAAATAATTAAAAGTTCTATTCAGAAAAAATAGAAGTACTTTGCAGAGTAGGATCCAAATCCTTTGGGAAGAAAACTTCACATTAATTGTCAACAGGCGGTTATTCTTTCTTCACACTACTAATTCCGTCAGAGGGGTTGTCACCCAGGATTTGCAGTAAGCAGAGCGTATTGCATGAAACGATCAGTAATAGTACTCGTCTCTCTGGAATATCCAACTGCTCTCACTTTGCTTGTTCAAAACCCAGACATTGAAAAGGTGGTTGAGGTATAAGACTAAAGGCTTTCCGGAGTATCCACAAGTTTTCCAACTTTTTTTTGAGTTAGTAGACAGAGGATGAAACAAGAAGGGAAAGTGATCATAAAGGAACTGCTAGAGGAAAAAGAACGCACACTTAAAAACAAAGCAAAATACAACTGTTGGCATGTCGCGATCTGCAGCCTGAAGAAAGGGCTCGCCGGCATGTGTCTGGACTAAAAGCATTTTCTCTTTCAAAAATAAAAACTTAACAGTCACCACAAAATTCATGAACTACATTAAAACTCCCCAAAAGATCCATGAACTATCTCAGCTTACTATTCTGCTTCTACGTTCCAAGTCACTCATGTGACAAAAAAGCACCCAAATATTCGGGGCCAAAAAAGAGTCATTGCCTTTGAACTAAAGACCTCTGGATCATCTCTAAAAAAATAACCAACTTGGGAACCAGCAGTTAGCGTAATGGCTATGTCGCTGGACTACCACGTAGTCGACCGCGGTTCGCGTCCCAGACCCGGTGGCTTAAAACTCACTCCGGGCGTGTGTGCGTGCGTGCCCAAGATCCCCAGAGGAGAATGGAGGAGAAGGGATTGCGGCATGGCCATCCCCCCTGGGGGGTGATTTCTCTCTTTCTCTCTCTCTGTCTCTGTCTGTCTGGCGAGTGCATACGCCCTATGGCAAAAACCTCTTCCAAAAAAAGAAACCACAACTTACCATTCAAGAGACTATGGTCATTTCATATTATAGCAGACTGTAACTTCAGTTAGTTTATAAATAACTTTAAAAACTTATGAATAAAATGCACCATGCTACATCTGTGAAAAAGCGATCATGTTTTAATTCTGGGTTAAATATGACTAATACAGTGTGAGCTCGAATTAGAAAAATTAAGATGCTAAATAAACTGCTAGGGACTTTCATAATGGGGAAGGGTCAATGAAAAATTTTCTCTACATATGATATGATCATTAACAGACTAGTAGATCTTATTTGGAATGATAAGGCAAAAACAGTAAAACCACATGTTTCCTATACAAAGTTACACATTGTCTTCTGTAGGGATAGCTATCATACATGAAGAAACAAAGAGGCGATCATTCTATTGCACACCCAGGAACATTAGGGAATCTGGTCTTAGTATGATCTAGTCATCTTCTTCCTCTCCATCATCCTCAGCATCTCGTTTCCTCTTCTCTCCTCGAAGACCTTCATCTCCCTCTTCCTCTTCTTCTTCCCCTTCTTCAACATAGTCATCATCATCTTCTTCATCCTGAATTTCTTCTTTCATCATATTTGAGAGGCCCACCTCCTCTTCTTCCTCTCCCAGTTAGTTCGGAGCCTGCTTCATCTTCATCCTCATCCTCATCTTCATCCTCTTCCTCCTCTTCTTCCTTCAGGTGGACCAGCCTCATCTTCTTCTTCATCTTCATCATCTTCATCATCTTCATCTCCATCCTCCTCCTCCTCCTCCTCTTCAGAGTCTGGTGCTTCATTATCTTCCTGATCAAATCCATCTAAGTAGGTGATTTGTTGCAGCAGTTCAAATATACTTTCTCTATAATCTTCCAGGTTTCTGATGTCACAGTTAAACGAGTCCAGACTTTTTTTCTTTTGGAGAGGTTTTTTTTTCGCTATAGGGCGCATGCGCTCGCCAGACAGATAGTCATAGAGACAGAAAGCGAGAAATCACCCCCCCAGGGGGGATGGTCACGCCGCAATCCCTTCTCCTCCATGCTCCTCTCGGGATCTTGGGCACGCACGCACACTCGCCCAGCGTGTTTTAAGCCACCGGGTCCAGGACGCGAACTGCGGTCGACTACGTGGGAGTCCAGTGACATAGCCATTATACTAACTGCTGGTTCCCACGAGTCCAGGCTTTTCAAATTTTTAAGATTTTGCAGAGCTTCTACTGTACCGAGATTTTTAATTTTGTTTCCACTTAGATTGAGGTGGGTAAGATTTGGACATTTCTCTGCTAGGACTTCCAAGCCTCCAGAAATTATATTGTCACTAAGTTCCAACTTCTGAAGTTTATGTAAGCTGGGAAGCCTGGCCAGTGAACTTAGCTCCACATTAGCCATCCTCAGAAACTCTAGTTCTTTAAAAGTATCATTAAGGCCTTCAATTTCCCCATTGACACACAGACAATTATCAAGGACTAACTCTGTCACCTCCTCCGGGGCTCTGTTCCTTAACCTCAGGTTAATCCTCTTCTTCATCTCCATGTCCTCCTCCTGCTCTTCTGCCACTATT